AAAGTTTTGGACCCTCCCTCTTTTTCCCCGCCAATTTCTCCAATATTCTGGATTTGACGTGTTTTATCGGGGGTTTTTAAAAAGCATCAAAATGACGTTACTTCAATGATCCCTCCACAAATTGTCTAAGAAAATCTTGATCCTCGCCAGTCAGACTTTGATCTACAACTGAATGTCTTTCCGTCTTTTACTCTACAATAATTGTTTTGTTTACGAACACTCACACTTTCTCTCCATCATCTCTCTTGTATCCTTCACAAACTCCCACTTGGGACGTCTTCGCTTCTTCTTGTCAAATTTCCCACTTGGAGGAAAACGATCCTACGGTAACAGTTCTTCTTCTTTTTACTAGATGGAGGGTATTGGCGGGGATCAGTCCGCTTAACCCCCCCCCCCCCTCTCTCTCCCTCTCTCTCTCTCTCTCTCTCTCTCTCTCTCTCTCTCTCTCTCTCTCTCTCTCTCTCTCTCTCTCTCTCTCTCTCTCTAACGGTATCTCTATATCTCTAGAAATTTTTCTCGGAAGCTCTCTCGGGCAACCTCGCGCTAGGGAACTCCAGTCTCGGGTCTCTCTCTCTAAAACCTCTGGTTTTATTTACTCTTTCTCTTTGTCCTCTCTCAATCTCTTAAACTCCATCCTCTTCATCGAAGGCGCTCTCTCTCTCTCTCTCTCTCTCTCTCTCTCTCTCTCTCTCAAGGAAGGTCTCTCTCCAATAAAGATCATTCTGATTACTGCATTCCCTTGCTGTTATGAAATGTAACAGACATCTCTGAAACAGGAAGTCCCCGCAGTCTCTGATATAATATAACAGTTTGAGAAGGTCGACAGACTTTATGGATTGTCGACAAAATACGATTATGTTGAGGAATCCAATAGGGATCCATTTTGTTTTCCGTTTGCTTTGTTTTCGGGGGGGGGGGGGGATGGGTAGAATTTTGCTGTTGTTTTGTTTTGTTTTTTCTTTTCCCTGTTTGCAAGTTCCTTCATTTCCGTGTTTCTGTTGCTATGAGGCTCTAGAAAATCTGGCTTAAAATATGGCACCTCAATCCCGCCATGTTTGTTTCTGTGTTTCCTCTCAAAGCTATCAAATTGTTTCAATTATTGGGGCAACAGTGTTGGACCCTCCCCCTTTTTCCCCGCCAATTTCTCCAATATTCTGGATTTGACGTGTCTTATCGGGAGTTTTGAAAAAGCGACAAAATGACGTTACTTCAAAGATCCCTCCACAAATTGTCTAATAAAAACTAAAGCATGATCATGTGACTCCCAGTGGAAGAGCGTATCATATATAAAATCTGTTTAACTTGCTACAAGTGCTTAAAAGATTTATCTCCGGACTATCTAAAACAGATTTTAACACCCTATGTGCCTCCTAGAACGCTCAGATCATCAAGTGACAAAACAACCCTTGTTAAGCCTAAAATAAATTACAAATCATGGCCAACGCTCTTTTTCATATTTTGCCCCACTTGTTTGGAATAGGCTTCCAAAAACTATCAGAGAAGCAGAAAATCTAGAAATTTTTAAGAAGAAACTAAAATCATTTCTATTTTCATCATATTTCGATTAGACAGAATGCATCCAAGCTGTAGATCGTTGTGAGTTTGTATGTGCGTATGTGCATATGTATGTATGTGTGTATGTGTGTATGTATGTGTGTGTGGTGCGTGTGTGAGTGAATATGTGTTTGCATGAGTATGTAACACTATGTACCTTTAAAATTGATTTGTAAATCCATAATATGTATCATGTTAAGCGCACAGAGCATTGCATAAGTGGATATGCGCTATATAAATGCAATCCATTATTATTATTATTTTTATTAAAATCTTGATCCTCGCCAGTCAGACTTTGATCTACAACTGAATGTCTTTCCGTCTTTTACTCTACAATAATTGTTTTGTTTACGAACACTCACACTTTCTCTCCATCATCTCTCTTGTATCCTCCACAAACTCCCACTTGGGACGTCTTCGCTTCTTCTTGTCAAATTTCCCACTTGGAGGAAAACGATCCTACGGTAACAGTTCTTCTTCTCTTTACGAGATGGAGGGTTTTGGCGGGGATCAGTCCGCTCACCCCACCCCCCACCCCCCGACCCCTTTCTCTCTCTCTCTCTCTCTCCCACCCCCCTCCCTTTTTACGCACTACTAGCTACCTAGTCTGCGGATTTATTATAAAAAGTTCAACCATTTTTTTTT